GGTCACATAGCCCAGCACAGACAACTGAGTCTGTGTTTTACCGGGGGCAAAGTTCTGAGCCCCGGTCTGCTGCTGAACAGGGTTACTGCAGTTTGTTTGTTTGTTTGTTTGTCTGTTTTCTCGCTGTGGAATCCCCTTGTTTCAGACTTTTAGGGAGTCAATAACTTGATATCTTCCAATTTCTCAAGCTTGAAGTTTGAACAGATTTCCAGTTAAAGAAGAGAAACCTCTACAAGCCGACTTGAAGATGTGAAGTTGTGAACACTTGGCAGGAAATTGATCATAATTTAGTAATTTAGTACAGAATACAAATTTTAAAATTCAAATACAGCCCCCCAGGTTTGCATCGACCAGTTTAGCTGATGATACACCAAAAAAGGAAGAAGGGGGAAAAAATTAATGATAGAAGAAAGGGCGGCAACGTAGTTGCTGTCCTCCATCCATCAATAGCCAGCAGGGGGAGGGGAGCGGAGGGGAGGGAGCGCGGGGGAGGGTAGGAAAGATGGGGATTAGGAACAGCACTTGAGATCAGGGTCGCCTGATAGTACATCACCTGGTACCGTTTCTCCTGCTTCCCCATCTGTGTGCCTTTCTTGGCGATCAGCGACTTGTACGTTTCAATGAATTCTAGGTAACTTGCTGGCATGACATACATGTGCCGTTGCTGCTCTAACCAGAATCTCTCTGCAATTGCACGAACGCTTCTGTGTATCTTCACGCAAACTTCCCCAACAGCACACTTGGACGACTTCTGGAAGACACTCACTCCTGCCCTGTCCGCTCCATCTCCCACCACGGGTGCAACCTCTATGGTACCAGATGGGACCAATGGCGCTGACAGCGCAGTTTCGGTTCCAGGTCCCACCTTTCCAATGGCCCCACCCTTCTTACCCGGGGTGTGCCTATCTGCACAATCAACGATCTTGGAAGACGCTTGCGAAGCCAGTTCTGGTTTGTTGCCTGATGTGCTGCTTTGCTGTGTTGTTGGGGCCGGTGCCACACTCAAGGACGCAGGATTGCTGTTGGTGCCAACATCTGCTGCACTGATACCTGCTGGTGGGGCAGATGGCATACTCTCGAGGAAATGCGAGGCGACGGAGAGCAGTGCATCGTCCGGCCAGTCGGTGAACCAGTCAATGGTCATGCACGTGACTAGCGAGGGACAGCGGCGTATTCTGTCCGTAAACTGGGGCCCGATCGGGCTGACACAAAGAACAATCCGGAGGTTCTTCCGCACATTGCAAGCGAAAACCTCTTTGAGGTCGACTGCAACAGAATGATGAGCAGCCCAGTGATGATGGGGGTGGTGAGAGTGAGTGTGACATCCAAATCGAGGCAAACAAGAGGACAGAACACCGCTGTGGCCACCGACCAACTGTGGTGAAGTGCAGGAGGGTGAGGACGACGAGGAAGGGCGTAGCACTGCCGGAGTGGAAGCGGGAGATAAAATTCCAGCTTGGGCGGCTGCAACATCTGGAAAGAGATTGCCGGAGGAGGGACGATCAGCGATCGAGGAGGAGGAGGCACCCTTCGACCACCCCAGAGGAGAGGTTGGGCTCAGCATTCCTGAGGGCTCCATTGCACTTGCTGGTCGGCTTGGCAGACAAGTTGCACCCATGGTACTGTAGCGCGATTGCCGAAGCTGAGATCGCAGTGAGTCAAAAATTGTCAGATACTCACCTGTGTCGAACAGGTTTGGCACCTCCCCTGTGCTTAAGATGTTGCTGCAGGCCAGAATGGCAACACAGAAGACGAAAGTGGCGAGGAGGAGGAGAAGGAGAAGGAGAGCAGGAGCAGGAGGTAGAGGGAGGGGGGAGGAAGGGGGGAGAAAGCGGAGGAGGGGGATCGAACCCACAGAAGGGAGACAGAAAATAGGATAGAGGGGCAGAGTTGAGGGACATCAAAAAACAAATGTGCACACACAAAGTGAGTGAGAGAGAGAGAGAGAGAGAGAGAGAGAGAGAGAGAGAGAGAGAGAGAGAGAGAGAGAGAGAGAGAGAGAGAGAGAGAGAG